TATATATATATATATATATATATATATATATATATATATATATATATATATATATATATATATATATATATATATATATATGACGTTCCATGCATGCTTTACACTTTACAGGTGGGTGCTTTTTTTACCAATCTTTTTTACACTCAAATCTTTTTTTTTTTCCTTTTTGTCCCAATACTGTCTCTTAGCAAATTACAAGTAACCGTTTGGCACTTTGGCTCATATTAACAGTAATATCACGTAAGTCATTTTTTTTTTGCAAAAAAGTAAGTCATAATTTGATTTCACAAACTTTGCAAAAATTATTAAAAAGTGAAACATATGTGAATATCTTAGAATATAAATAACTCATTCTGGGCCACAACCACAAGCTTGAGCTTTTGGTTGAGTTGGTTCCTTGACATGGTATCGCAATCTTCTTGACTAAGAGGTCACGGGTTTGAAACTCAGCGCCACCCAGTTTCAAGAAAATTAAAGTTTCACGTGCAAGGCTCGAAAAAAACTACGCCTGCACGTGAGAGACTATAAATAAGTCATTCTGGGCCACAACCACAAGCTTGAGCTTTTGGTTGAGTTGGTTCCTTGACAGAAAAAAGAATTGTTTATTAGAAGAGAGAATTGAAAAATGTTACTCGTATTAGTCGATCGCTTGCTCATTTCTTTTTATGGAAAGAAAAGATATGGAAAGGTTAATTATTTTGAGATAGATAAAAAGGAAGGTAAATGTAATAGTGAATCTAAGGTTCATATTGCCTACGTTCCATTTTTTTGTTTGACTTTTCAGTCTCCAAGACAACCCTTAGATCATTAATATCTCTATTTTAAATAAATATAGAATATAAAAGTATGATTTAAAATACTAGATTTTGAAATAAATCTATTAATATGAAATTCATACCACAATTCAATATATATTTTTCGTACTTGGATCAAAATTTAAAAAAAAGGCTGAAGGAGAGTACAGAGTTTAAAAATTTTGACCACAAAAGTCAAAACACAAAGAAAAATATATGAGATGGAGGAATTACAATTTTTTGTAGACTTACAAGTGATGGTGGTAAGCAAATACTTAATACCTCGATGAGCTAAGTATTCCTTTCTCCAAAAAAACTATAAAAACTTTTTTATGTGAGAAAATCCATAAAAATCCATAAATTTTTTTTGGATCATCCTTCATTTCTTTAAACCAAACAATGAGAAATACTTAATTGGTTTCCCTTCTTTAAACCAAAAATTCCTTACCGGCGGTATCTTCCCATGCAAATACTCTCGGGTTCCATTGGTACACAGAATTCAAACTTTAGAATTAGAATTCGAGACAACAATTTCAATTCTCCTGTTTGGTAGCACAAAAAATATGTAAATTTGGAATCGGTAGCGCCAAAAACGAACTGGAATTAGAGAATTCAATTTCATCCAAATCAATTCTATAGAATTTTACCTTTCAATTCAATTCTAATTCCGTCAATTCTATGTAACAAATAAATCCTGTATTCGATAGTTAATTCTGTGCAAAGCATGTGATAATTGGTGGTGTGGTTTCAAAAATTTGAGGTTTTATGCTAGCTTTTTTTTTTTAATTTGATGGGGGCATTGGATAAGGGGTATTTATGTCCTTTGAATGTATGCCTCCCATCTTAATTGCGCCTATAAAAAGGAAAGAAGAAGGGGTTGCTTTATTTTAGAGTATATATACAAACACCTCTTTCCAACCAACATTTTAAATATTATAAGCCATTTCTAAACATATATACTTTTAATTTATAAGTTTATATGGAGAAAACGTGCAGCACAAGCTTGTTGAGGACGAGGTCGGAGCAGCTGGTGGAGAAGATGGCGGCGGCAATGGCGGCCATGAAGTCTCCGCCGGGAGCCGTGGACGGCGGCGGCGGAGTGGTTTTGGCGCGGAGCGGCACGACAACACACATTAGGAAGTCGAACAGCGCGCAGATGAATAAGTTTGAGTATTTGGATGAGTTGGAGAGCGGGGCCGCCCTCAGCCGCGCCTCCAGCGCCAGCTTGGGCTTCTCCTTTCCCTTCACCGGATTCGCCGTGCCGCCGCCGGAGGACGTAACTCTCCATTCTAAGCCCTTCAGCGAAGAAGACGACGACGACGATATTCGTAAGTTTTCATTTCCACCATCTTATCTAATCTTTTACCCCCATAGTTTAATGAGAAATTTGCACTAAATAGGACTAAAACATAATGATTTTCCTAATCTAGGACTTAAACTTTTTTATTCCCTAAATAGGACTTAATAATGTCTTCGTGGAAGGAATAATGCCCAGCAATGATGGACATTTACTTGAATAATGACTAATTAATAATGACCAAAGGTCCTACATTGAGAAAATAAAAACATATGGTCCTATTTTAAGAAAGTCATTATGTTTTAGTCCTATTTAGATAAATTACTCTAGTTTAATTTTTCCGATATTTTGAGTTTTATTTACTCTCAGATTTGTATTATATATTAGCACAAAAAATTTAAAATTTTGAAAGTTTTCAACTAAATAAATCTAATAAAACCTGTTTTCTATTAATATACCTTACATTTTTGTTTAACTGAAGCTTAAAGTTCACTTTATTTGATTCAAAGAAGTCAAACTGAATAAATACATATACACTAAGACGGAGATAATATTATTTTTCCTTGATCGAAAAATATTTATAATTTGATTTTTGTTATATTATTCAACATTTAACCGTTAATAAAATCCTTCTATTGGGAGCATTACCGTCCCACACCGGATCTATAGAGAGAAATTAGACCAACATAAATAAGTTCAATCCAACTCATTATGAAATGCATTATGTGAGGGATAAAGTATTACTCTGAATTTTAATGCATTTTGAAAAGGATATCTGACGGTAGCCTTACGTTAGTATTTTCAGAATAAATCTACACTATTAAAATTTTATTTAAAACGCTAACGTTATTTTTTTTTACAAACAAGGCCTATTTAATTCTGATTGGAGTTTCATATAAATGAATGGAGAGTAACAGTGTACGTATTGAGTCCAAGCTAATATATAAGGCTGAACATTTAATACTATATTTGTCCAATTTGACTTTTTCAAGTCAAATTAGATAAACTTTGAACACCAATTACTCTCAATTTAATTGTATCTTAGCATAATAAAATATAATTTTGAAAGTTCTCAATACGATAAATTCAATAAAATCATTTTTATATTAAATACATTACGATTTTTATTTCATTGAAGCTTAAAGTTATCCAGTTTGACTCAAAAAAGTCAAACTGGACAAACACATTCAAATGGAGGGAATATACATTTGTAAAAACAGGGCAAAATTATTTTTTTGAGTTGACGAAAAGGGAAAGTGAATAGAAAAGTTGTTATAAGGATTATAATGTGTGATCGAAACCGGTAGTGGGGTGTGGGTTGTGTCACGTGTCAACCCAAACACCATAGTCAACCCAAACAATATTTGCTACTTTTAAAAAATTTGTCCAGTTTTAAATTATTTTATTTAATTAAGATTGATTTTTGACTTGTAATTAAATAAATCTTGAATGAGAGAAACATTAGATAATAAATATTTTAAAATAATTTTACAAGATAAGTCTAATAAAATTATTCTTATACTTCATGTGTCCCTAAATAGATTATAATTTTTTTTCTCTCTCCTCTCAATAACTTTTGTTTGTTTACGCGATTTCATTAAGTGTTTGATAAAATAAAATATTCTTGTTACCTCTTATTTTGTAGAATTTTTGAAGTAGTTTTTTAATATATAATTGTTATATTTTATTGATATACCGATTTGTAAATAAAATGATTTCAAAAATTAGAAAATTTTACTCTGTAACCCGCAATTTGTAATCAAATTGGGGACGGAGGAAGTATAATACTCCCTATGTCCCAAAAAAGACTCTTTATTTCCTTTTTGGGACATCTCAAAAAAGGGAGAAAAAACCAAAGTAAGACTAAAACATTGAAAATATATAAAAATTAGACTTCCATGCTTTTATTCTCGAAATAAGACTTAAAAATGTATTTACATTACTAAACATGATCATCTGCTTTACCAAAAAGTATAGTAATGTGCACATGCAGAGTGCCCCATTATAACTATATTACCACAGTGTGAAGTCCTATTTCGAGAAAAAACATGAAAGTCCTATTTCAGTACTTTTCTCTATGTTTTAGTCCTATATAGGGTGAATTCTATTCAAAAAAAGCTTCCTCTTTCCATTTATGGAAAAGTTTGAGTGGCTCAAAAATTTTCTCTTCCCTGCATCTCTTTCAACTACATATTTTTGCTTTCCTAAACTTTGTGTCAAGTCAAACTGTAAACCTTATTTTGAGACAAAGGGTGTATCTACTACTATGAATTTTATTTATTAATGGTCAAATTTATAATTTTTTAATGCAAAAATTTATAATTGGACAAATATTTTATGACGAAAATGACATTTCCTACTTATTAAGTGTCTGTGTGTCACTATTTCTGCCTTAGTATACACTTAGTGTACCCCAAGTGGATTCTCCTAGCACCTCCCTTTAACTGTTGGTATATGCAATATTCCAAAATCGTCACATACGAATATATATATATATATATATATATATATATATATATATATATATATATATATATATATATATATATATATATATATATATATATATATT